TTTAACAGCCTGATATAGCTGAAGTTTTATCTCTTAAAAAAATGCTGACATTTCTTTCTTACCTTTTGAATAAGTTTTTAATCAAAACGACTTAAAAGTGTTGCTAAATAACACGTTGTCACTTTTACTACTTTGACCAGCAAGAACCAGTGCGAACCAGTCCAAACAGCTTCTTCCTCTTACTTCCGTCTGCTGCCAGTTCTGAATGGCTTCGATGGTCACTGTCCAGTACATTTCTGCTGTACTTGGACCCTGTGAGGTTAATATTCCCCCTGGTCGTTGGGAATCACTGAGCATGCCACCCAGGAAGGCACCTGGTTCTTGCTTGAAGATGATTCATCTCTCATCATCAGACCTTGAGTTTTGGCCAAGGGAGGTTCCAGCAATGGAAATGTGTTTGTTCTGCCCAGCCATTGAATCAAGCAAGTCCAATCTGCAGAGTGAATTAACCTGTGCAGATTGGACTCAACTGGTTCAGTGGCTGGGCAGAACAAACACATGACTTGTTGTGTCCAGATCCCCCATGAATGGGAGGTTCAGACCTTTACACTGAGAGGGGGGGACATGACTGACCTGCTTTAAGATGCTCCCTCCTCCCGGTCTGAACAAGCCTTTTAAATGAAGGTGAAACATCCTCAAGGAGCAGACCAAGACCAGCTTCCCTCAGCTAGAGGATTGTGCTTCGTCATCACCTGCATCACTGATATCACTAACTAATCAAAGCTCTTGGTGGATGTTTTGACCACGTGAAACATTTGGGTTGGTTTTGACGGTCAGACTCTCTGGTAATTAAGCCTGTGGTAACTAACTGTTGATTTCCATGTCTTATTTAGGTTTCCCATTTTTATTCAAAAAGAATGTTCCCTTTAAAACTGCTTTTGACACTTTCAGTGCCGGATTCCTCTTTTCTCATAGCATGCTAGAAGTTATTAAAGGCTGAAGGTCTGGTCTCACCTCTGGTTTCGATCAACATCCCTCAGCTGGCTCCAGGCTCGGACTGGGAACGATTTTTAGCCCTGGCGTTTTTCCATCTACACCGGCCCACTTACACCCAAAGCACCCCCGAGAAAGAAAAAATAGAAGCACAGTCAAATGCATGCGTCTCAAATGTGAAACACAAATACACATTGGATTAACCAATCTATCACATGAAGACCATAACCAAGACTTCTATAATGCAGTTTTACTGGTTTTGGTTATTAACACAGATGCGACGGTGACAGCTGAAGTGTAACGTCCAACACTTGCACAAAGCCAGCCAGACACCCACTCCCACGATACAGAGCCGTCACTGACAACGTTTTCACAGATTACCAGTCCGACCCTGGCCGGCACTGACTTTCTCTTCTACTGCTAGCAGGTTGTTCCAGCTGCTTCCAACAGTTGTAACTTGTTTCAATTAGTTCTGACTACTTCAAGCTGGTAGTAGCTGGTTCAACTTGGTTTAAGCTGCTTCAAACTAATTATAACTGGTTCCAGTGTGGTTCTAGTTGGCTGAAGCTGGCTGTAACTGGTTTAAGCTGCTTCTAACCAACTTGTTCCAGTGAGCTGTAACTGGTTCTAACCAGTTGTGGCTTGCTCAACCTGGTCCCATGGTTGTAACTAGTTTTCCTTTTGCAGTCATGCACGCCGCGTTGGCAGACCTGCATCGGGAACACAGACGACACTCTGGGCTTTGCTCTTGGAGCCCTCTTTGTCAAGGCAACATTTGACAAACACAGCAAAGAGATTGTAAGTCCCTGCATGTATCCGGAGACATTATCCCTGTAGGTTCAGGAGTCCTAATACAGGTCCGACCTCGGTAACTTCAGCTCAACTTTCATTTTTCCATTAGGCAGAGGATATGATCAATGAGATCCGCTCTGCATTCAAATACGCTTTGGACAGACTCAGTTGGATGGATGATGAGACAAGACAGGCTGCTAAGGACAAGGTACCTGGACCGAGTCTTAAAGTCACCTATTTCATACTCCTGCATGAAGTGGTGTCCTTAAAGAGACATAAAGATGCTGGTGTCTCTTCACAGGCAGATGCCATCTATGACATGATTGGTTTCCCAGAATTCATCCTGGATCCCAAAGAGCTGGATGATGTTTACGATGGGGTAAGTCCCAGCTTTGATGACAGAACAGAACCACATTTATTGTCCTGTTTAATTTGAAAGAATAGAATTCAACTTTATTGTCTTGAAATTACAAAGCAACGAAACTCACCTTCTGCATTTGACACATCCCCTTGGGGAGCAGTGGGCTGCCATTGTGTGGCAGCAGCCATAGCAAATAGATTTTTTTATTTTTTATTTTAGACAACCAGAAGAAGCTAGTTAAAGTTTTGAAACCTGAGATAAGTTGAACAGGAGGCGCCGGGGAGAGCAGGAGCAAGGAATAGATTAGAATTCAACTTCATCTCTGTACTTGTCACAAGTACAGAGCAACAAAATGAACTGTCCACATTTAACCCCCTTGGGGATCAGCGGGCTTCCATTGTGCGGCGCCCGGGGAGCAATCTGGGGTTAAGGGTCTTGCTCAGGGAGTCAGGGTGTCAGTCGTGGGAAGTGGGGCTTGAACTCAGGATCTCTGGATTCTAAGTGCAATGCCCCAACCACTAGGCTGCCACACTCCCCCTAATTTGTGCTCAGTTTCAGATGGTTAGGTGGATTCCTTCTGCCCCCTGCTGTTGTATTTGTGTCATCACATCCTCTTTCTGTGTTGTAGTACGAGGTGTCGGATGACAGCTTCTTCCAAAACATGTTGAACTTCTACAACTTCTCAGCCCGAGTGATGGCCGACCAGCTGAGGAAGACTCCAAACAAAGACCAGTAACTCAGAAACACCCCTCACATCTCAGACCATCATCCAGTTTGTTAGAAACATGCAGGTTCATTAAATATACTCAGGAAGAGACTGGAGGAAGATTAACCAGACTATGTTTGTACTTGGCTGTATGATTTTATTCTAATCTAGAAAAGATTCAGAATGTTTCTGACTTTACATCCTAAAGTTGAGCCTTACTGTTTATTTTCATATTTAATATTAGGTCAGGTCTTCAGATGGTTTACAATTGTTTTCCTCCAGAGTCTAGCCTCTATAGGCTAATGGATCGTTTTTGTTTTGCTGCTGAAGAATTTTGAATTGAAATCTGGAATAGATATGTTACTCAGAGAGAAACCAGTCCCCTTTTAAATTTCCAGTACGTTATCCTGCGTGTGTCACAATGAGATTAAGTACAATCCTATGGCAAAGAAAAACAACATAACAAGCCCTTTTATGCAAAGCCTGCAAATGAAGACAAGTTTTTGTTTATTGCAGGTGTTATATTTAACCAGAGGAAAACAAATCTTTTGATTTGCATAATTTGGATGAGAAACAAACACGCACCCAACCAGCCGCGCATGGCTGAAGCTGGACAGAGAAACTCTGCTAGATCTGCTTTGTGTCCCTTTTCTTGTTTTTTCTCCCTGTTTTCACTTGTCCGCACAATCCTGGTCTTGAGCTTTAGGTTAGCTCTTGTTTTGGACCAGCACAGTTTTGTGCTTATGGGGAATCCTCCTTCTTGCAGAGAACTTCGTTCAGTTATATCAGGGTGTGACTTTAGTTGAGCCAAGAACATCTAAAAGACCTGGCTTTGTGTCTTATATGTTAAAATATCTTCCTGTTTTGTTCTATGGGTGGATATATATATATATATATATATATATACACAACTCTACAGACACAACAATAACTCCTGTCTGCCCTCCCTCTCTCCTTCTCCTTCCCTCCTCTCCTCCTGCAGATGGAGCATGACTCCTCCTACAGTTAATGCCTACTACATGCCCACTAAGAACGGCATCGTATTCCCTGCTGGGATCCTGCAAGCTCCTTTCTACGCCCACGACCATCCTAAGTCCGTTTACCTCCACATCCACCACTCTTTGTGTCTGTCTGTCTGTCCACCTGTAGAGACATTGACTTCAGAACATATTTGATCTCCTCTGCTTGATTAGAAATGTTTTAAAACTGCATTAAAATGTTGTTTTTCAGAGCATTGAACTTTGGTGGCATTGGGGTGGTGATGGGTCATGAGCTTACCCATGCCTTTGATGATCAGGGTAAGGAACAGATTCAACTGTTTATTCAGTGATAAAGCTTTTACAAAGTCTGGTATGTTTTAGAAATATTCCTTTCCTTTTTTTTCACCCCGTTAGGGCTATAGAAAGTAAAAAAATAGATTCAAACCACCATGAGTAACTTGATCTATTTGGAGATCAGGGGAATAAACTGTAAATGTTGTACCTGGACAACTGTCTACTTTTACTTGAGTAAAAATATAAAAGTAGTGCTAAATTAACAAATACTTTATGAAATGGAATTAAAGTTAAACGTTTAGGAAAAAATATATGGCTCTTTCTAGTAGCTAAGAGTGAGACAGAAACAGAGAATAAACATAACAGAATAAATAAAACTTAAAAAACAATTTAAATCCACACTCAAGCAGTTTTTTTTTAACTGTATGTTTGAATCTGATAAAATACCTCTATATTAATCTGTGTTTTTTAAATTGTTGTATTAGAAATTAGCGGGTTTAGTTGACAATTGTATTGGTTACTGGCTGTCACTGCATTGTCCGGAATTAATGATTCAGGACTAATGATTTGGTCCTGAAGCAACCATTTTCGTCTAATCGGTAAAGATCTCCAGTCTGATACCGACTGCGGGAGAAATCATTGGACAGATTAACATCACTCAGATGGGTGGAGATCTTCAAATGTTTCTCTATGCACAGCAGAAATACATTTTGTAAATGGAAATTAAAAAAGAAAAAAATCAATTTTAAAAGAATATTTTTGTAAAACAAAATCTAAAAAAAAATGAAATTTGTATTAGGAGAAAAAAAGGAAAATATAAACTCTTTTCCATAAAAATTGAAAGACCTGAATTACTAAATATGTAAAGATAAATTTGAGAAAAGGTTCAATACAAAACATTTTTAAAAACTATTTCTAAGAAAAAAACTGTTAATGGAAAAAAAAATCACTCCACATTCCTCCCAATGAAGCTATAATTACTTTTCCTACAATACAGTTTCCTTTGCAAGCTTCAGTTTGCAGTTCAGAGGCTGGATATCCAGAGGTAGAATCCACTGCTCTGGGCTTGGAGGCATCTGCTGTCTGAACAGGGTCTTGTCTGCAGGCAGTGCCCATCAGCCAGGGTCTGTGATGGTAGGGATACATTTGGCAAAACTCTTTGCAGCAGGCAGCCATAAAGATCTATTGCACAGATATGTTTCCATTTTCTTATGAAGATAATGGAAGACCACATCCTAAACCTCTATAGACTAAAGGTCACCTGGTCTATAGGGATCCGGACCCACCTGCTGGCTAATCCGGACCCAACCTGATTTAAAACATTTATAAATGTCTAACTTGTCTAGCAGTGTCTAACTTAACTTGCGCTGCTTCTCCTGTTAATACGGTAAAGCCTTCTGGAGCGTCGGGACCAGGCTAAACCTGATACTAATTATCCAATGAGCTGCTGTCAGTCTGGGTTGCTGCTGCTGCTACTTTTAGACACAGCAGGCAAACCTGTGGCAAGCCGGGCGATGGGAAAGAAGGAGAAGAAGATGAGAAAAAGAGCAGAGAAGGTGTGGATTGCTGGAAGAACTGTGGTGAACTGGTGAAAGAAAAGTGAAATGTTGTGCTCAAAGATGACCCTGCACATTTAGAGGATGTTGGCTCAACCTGCTGCTGTGAAGCAGGATTCTCCACCATAAAAATAATCAAAAATAAATATTTATCAGGCTCAAAGTGAGCTCCTTGATATGAGCTTTAGAAGGGCTTTGTTTTAAGCCAGAAAAAAAAACAAAAAAACGGTCAGTTCATGTGTTTATCAAAGATGTGAATCAGGAAATTGTCAATATACCAAACTGAACAATTGTTGTTCTGTTCTACAAAATAATTTAGATTTTAAAATGGAAAAAACACCTGCATTTTATTTCAGTGTTAAATTCTGTCTAAAGTAACGGATTATAATTAAAAATATCTCCGGACCTTTACTGGTTAATTTTCTTTATTCAGACCCTGCTGATTTCTAATTGGTTACCACTGGTCCATAGAATGACACCACTGGTCTATAGGCTGAGGAAGAAGGGAATCGCTTTGGCTCCGCTCCTAATCTGGAGAATCTAAAAGCCAAAGATGTGAGGGGAAATCTCATCCTGAGACCCGTTTACAGGAAGAATCGGACAATATAGGACTGAGAACTCTTAATGACTTGGTTTCTCAATTCTAGGGTTTTGAACATGTTTCAGTCTGAATTGGAAGAATGGAGGAATGTTACATAAAATTAATCAGATTCAGACTTTGTGAATCCAGGTCAGAGGAACTCTACAACCATGAGTTCCCCAACTGGTTAGGTTTTTAGGTCTGTGGTGTAAGATCTGATGGCCTTGTCTTGTCCTCCAGGTCGTGAGTACGATAAAGAAGGTAACCTGAGGCCGTGGTGGCAGAACTCCTCAGTGGAGGCGTTCCGTCGTAGAACAGAGTGCATGGTGGACCAGTACAACCACTACACCGTAAATGGGGAACCAATCAACGGAAAACAGACGCTTGGAGAAAACATTGCTGACAATGGGGGACTGAAAGCAGCTTACCATGTTAGTAACAACACAGACCTAAACTTGCTGCTGTCTTGTTCATCTAAATATTTTGTGTTACATCTTCTCTGTTCATCTCAGGCGTACAGATCGTGGATCAGGAAAAATGGAGAGGAGAAGAGGCTTCCAGCCGTGAACCTAACAAATGATCAGCTCTTCTTTCTAGGATTTGCTCAGGTGAGTTTCTTCTCATCAGGTATGGTGTTGAGACCATCCTTGACCTGTTTTGTTAGTTGTTTTTTTTTCCCAGCCTTGGCTCAGGCTTTGTCTCAGCTCATTGGTCTCAGTTTTTGTTTTCTTATTTGGATTATTAACCTTTGTACATTTAGTTTTGCATTTTTTTTGGTGTACAAAACAATAATGTCCAGAAATATTAGTTTATATGCTAAACATTTGGCCTCCGTCTTGATATCGGTCTCAGAAGGTCTGTCTTGGAGGGTGCAGTCTTCAATCCTGACTCCATTCTTGCTTCTGATAACGGCTAACCATCATTCCAATAATATGGAGTTCCACAGGGATTAATACACGGCACCAGATGGCAGACTTGGAAAAGAATATCTTAAAAAGAAGAGTCAGATTGTTTGCTGTCCAGTCAAAGTTTTTTCATCAGCTTGATTGAAAATATGCTTTTGAAGATTTAGAGAGATGTGAAAGGATCTTTTCTGCAAAACCAAAAAGGAAAAGTCCAGTTAAACAAGAATAACCAATAGATGGTTATATATACCTAAAAATAATAGGTTTGCGGTGATTTAATGAATTTCACGTTGATCAGTACAAAAAATAACAATAGCTTTTATTGCGATCTATGGGTCTGGGAGCAGCCATTTTTTCCCAAATATAGTAACACCTCACTCCTTCCGGCAGTGACGTCATGGTGCGGTAAGCCTAGCTCCATTCTTCCTGCTTTACAAGCAAAATCAATGGGAACTACTAGACACATCTGTAATCAGCAACAATTATTGAAGATTTCCAGAGGACTTTACCATTGAAATTCACAAGAGCTATAGTGAAACTGACAATACCCACATGCATGGCAGTTTGGTGATGTAATACTTTGGGTAAAAGTGAAAAAAATGAGTTATTTCACCTTTCTGATTCATGATTCATGATGATGTAATATGTAGCCAACATTTGGAAGAAGAATGTTTTCAAGATAACTTGGATAATAGCGCGTTGTGACAAACACCAGATACAGCACTGGGACTTGATCAACAGCGATACCGCACCGTGACGCAGTAGTGTTCTTTGACAAACATGGATGCCTCCAGTAAAGCACATTCAAATGAAAATTACTCTTAATTAAAAACACTTAGTGAACAGTATATAATAATTTCATTTTAAAATACTTTCAGGTGTTTGAATTCTGTATATGACAAGATTTTTCCTTTAATGAAAGCTGAAGCCTTTGGTGCTTGTTTTTTTTTATAATTGGTGTCCTGTAGTGCCACTCTGAAGGTACATTTCTAAAAGCTTTGTGTCCAGGATGTGTGGGGTCTGCAGAGATATTGGATAGCTTTTCCCTGACCCCTGAGTAAAGGGAAGACCTGATTGTTCGTTGAGTGTGGCCTTGTTTTGTGGAAGACCCAAACCAGACAGGACAGACTGAATGACAGGGCTTTAGAAGATGACCAGCAGCTCCTGTGGAAAGTTTTTGTCATAAAGATACCACAAGAAGTGAAGTTTCTGTAGGACTCCCTTCGTTGTTCCCTGGATTAGGTGTTGTCTTGGATTAGAGCAGCGAGAGTGATGTCATCTACAAATCTGAGGAGTCTGCTTAGTGGTGCAGGTGGTATCTTCTAACTAATGTAGTGATAAAAAGTTATTCAGCTATACAGTGCAGTTAAGTCTACGGAGATCAACGGATCTCAGTTGGCATTTTACTCTCTTTGCAAGAAAAGAGAATGATGTCCAGCCCTGCTTTGGATAGACAAAGTTTGTCTCACTAATTTAAACCCTGCAAAACTCTGTGAAGATCTCCACATATCGTTACCCAAACCATTACAGACAGGTGGAAACAACACATAATGTTATAAAATAATCCCTTAGAAACAGTCTAGCTTGTTATTGCATTATTCATTATATCCCAAACACTCCCTAATAGGAAAAACAACCCCTCTCCCGTAGACACCTTGTAGTGTTGCAGCTCTGAGGCCTGAATGAATGAAACTCAGCTAGTTAGTAATATATTGATTTATGTGTGCTATCTTCTAACAGTAAGGAAATATGAAACGGAAATGAAGAGAAGGCTGGGTAAAAAAAAATATCTAGTTTACAATGTGAGATACTGAGAATTCTGACTTCAGTTAGGCATCTATGGTTGGATCAACCTTTGAGGTTTTATGTTTCAACCCATGAACCATCTCTGTTGCATTCTTGTGTCTTTCAGGTATGGTGCTCAGTTCGCACACCAGAGAGCGCTCACGAGGGCCTGGTGACCGACCCTCACAGCCCCCCCAAATACAGAGTCATCGGCACTCTGGCCAACTCTCCGGAATTCAGTCAACATTTCCAATGTCCAGAAGGGACGCCCATGAACACCGGGAAGCGCTGTGAGGTCTGGTAGAGGACCGGCAGTGGCGATGGGGTTGGTTAATCGGTTCAATCCACAGGTTGACCGTTATTATAGTGTCTTAGGTTCTGCACGACCCGTTGCGTTCACAGCCCATGTGTAATCTTTAGTTCATCAGTTACTTGGCGACGATCAGACTAACTTCCTGTCTGGAAACCGAACAGCTTCAACGGACTTCAGAAACGTGACGATCTGATGATGATGGTGATGAAGCCACATGGGACAGTGTTGCTGATGTTTGCTTTATCCCCATTAATGGGCTTTTAAGTGTATGTTTTTTTTATGAGGGGTTTCTGTATCTTCGTCTGTGACATCACTGTGATAACCTCACACCATACTGACCCATTACTTCACCCATGTGTAAGGAAGCTGTCGTTTGATTGGCTGGATGCTGGAAAATGAAGATATCCAAGGATTTAAATACTCTATCTGTACATTTAGAGGTTTTATTTAACACCAAATGGCTTTAATGTTCAAATATACATGTAATGTTCCTTTAATCCCGCTGACAGCCAATTAAATGTAAAGTATCTGACAGTCTTCTGGCCAGAATCATAAATTGATGAATTTTGTCTGTTTTTCCACAAAAAAGTCTATTATCATCAATCGAACATTTTCAGACAATCATCTTTGTTTCATCTGCTGCCTTGAATTCAAGTGGAATTATTCACTATTTTATTGGTGCCAGTTTTAAGGTCAAATCTCCACAGTTGATTCCTTTAGTCTACTTTATGTAGTTTCCCTGTTAAACCCAGAAACAATGTGCCATGATCCAGAATGTTGCCTTCAAAGTCTAAAATAAAGTGTTTAAATATAAAATGAGGCCCGGAGAGTGTGGTTCAGACCGACAGCTGCAGTAACGGAGCGATGAAGGCTAAAGGAAGTAACCCTGAGAAGAGGTTAGGCATTACTTGAGGATATTAAGAGCTTAAAGGTACATCATCACATTGTATGCCGATACTAAAAAGACCAAATCCAGTTAATGATGATAAATTAAGGCTTTTTACTCCAAGCTTCTGTCTTGTGAGTGTGTAAATCGTCCTTTTTGGACTAAATAGAACTCCAGCCATAGAGCTGTCATAAGATTTGGCGCCATCGGCTGGAAGTACAGCAAAACTACCTTAAAGCCAGAAGGTGTCTGTTGAAACACCGACTAAGGCCACATCTCAGAAAGATAGGGCATGACGGCTTGCTAACACCAGTAGCACTATTAACAAGGTCAGATACTCCGGTGTCTAGTACCTTCACAGTGACATCAGAATACTTCTTGAGCTTTAGCAAGTTCCCAACTGTCAGATTGTTTTCCCAGCCAAACTCCAGTTGTATTCCTCTTGGACTTTCACAGCTTTTTGCACCTTTATACACTTGATCTTGGACAATTTTTTTGTTAGTTTTTTTGGATATACACTGAAAGCTCCTCACGCACTCGCCTACAATGTTTTCGACCAATTGTACGCATAAGTAGTGTTGTAATCCAGTTCTTGATGTTTACTAACAAGCGGAGCAAAGACAAAGCTTAAAAAGGAAAAAAAACAATACTATGCCATCAGGAATTCCTAATTTGCTATAAAAACTTGATATACGATGAGAATGAGTTAGTGGCATTAACATTTTTTAAATATCAGGTAAAGGGGAACCATTAACAAAGAGGTTATATAAGGGCCCAGATAGACTCTTCATGGCCTATTAGATCATGGTAGCATTGTAGCAAACAAGATGCTACTAAGCCTTGCACCTGATAATACACATCCTTAGGATGTTGACCTTCAGGCTAGCTTATGCTTAACAGTAGCAGGTTCTACAGCACAGGTTTCAGGCTTGGTCTTAAAGAACAAATCACCTTCAGATTTTTCAGTCATAAAGGGCATTTTTCTTTTTTTAAATCTGGGAGTCAAATGGATTGTAACTGGTTCTGGTGTTGGCTAGCTGGGTCTAACGGTATTGCTACATTTGCCACCCTTTAAAGCTTAACAGCTCCCCTTAAGCTGATATAACCACATGAAACTTGCTATAGAAATGTTTTTATTCCCAGATCCCCCGGCCCTGGGTCGGTCATGCTCCTTCAGGTATAATGTGGATTGAACAGATGGCACCTAACCAACTAGGTTCTGGCTGAGCATGGTTTTAGTCTAGTGAAAAATGGCTGCTCCAGCTGGTCATGACAAATTTTGAGGAACTAAAACAGAAGGGAAGTAATAAATCTCTGAACCCATCTGAAGATTTTTGTAGTGTTGCGCCGATGCCATTTTTTAGCCCCAATACCGATAGCCGATCCCTGGCTGTGCAGTATTGGCTGATTCCGATACCATTTTGATACCACCTGTTCGAAATTGATGTGTGTGTAAATATGAAGAACTGCATACTTCTTGGATGAAAAATAATTGCCATAATGGCTTTGTCAAGCTGCTGC